CAACGCCAGCTCCCTTCTAAGCCAGTGTGATAAATAATGGACGGGCACTGCCAACACCTGGCTCCAAGGCTGCCTCCCCGTGGCTTTCTGGGATTAGTTTTTAAAAAGATAGAGACACGATGAGGTGGTATTCACCTGAATGCCCAGAGATGTAGGACAACTGTGAAACATGGACCACAAGGTCTCAGAGCCTCCCCATCTGAGGCCTCACAACATGGAGCAGAGATGAGCAGTCCCTGCTGCATGTTCTGATTCCCTGACCCAAGGAATCTGCGAGTATGAAAAAGTGGTCGTTTTAAGTCATCAAGTTTTGGTGCGATTTCTTCGGCAATAGTAAGTGGAATTTCAGCTTGATCTGTAATGATTTATTTCTTTTAAAAAAATCTATAGTAAATACAACAAAATGCTAACATTTGTTCGTTTGGGGTGGTGAGTATGTGAATATTTGCTACATTTTTCTTTGAAGACTTGGTATTTTTTAATTAAAAAGTTTACATGAAATACAATTGTGTTTCTAACATAAGACACAAATTGTTGAAATTTCCAGTAAATTTCTAAGCACTAGTGTTAAAAAGAATAGAAAGCATTCCAAAAGACTCACAGGCAAAGCTATTTGTAATTCACTTTGTTGGTTTAAGGATTCAAAGATGGAGATGAACATACGATAAAGCAGCCAATGAGCATCACAAGCACATGACACTGGAATCTGATAATAGTTCTACACAGCAGTAAATTCTAATATTGTTTTCCATCATAAGCACTTTACGGATATTGTGTTTTTTACACATTGAAGGTTGGTGTCAACCCTATATCAAGCAAATCTATCGGCACCCTTTTTCCAACAGCATAATTTTTTCTTTTTATTGAAGTATAGTTGATTTATAATGTTCTGTTACTTTCTGGTGTATAGCACAGTAATTCAGTCATACATATATATTCTTCTTCATTATAGGTTACTACAAGTTATTGAATATAGCTCCCTGTGCTGTACAGTAGGACCTTGTTGTTTATCCATTCCATATATAGTGGTGTGTGTATGTTCATCCAAAACTCCTAATTTATCCTCCCCTCCTTTCCCGTTTGGTAACCATAGGTTTGTTTTCTATGTCTGTGAGTGTCTTTCTGTTTTGTAAAGAATTTCATTTGTGTTATGTTTTTAGATTCCACATATAAGTAATATCCTATATTTTTCTCTGTTTGATTTATTTTGCTTAGTATGATAAGTGAATCTAAGTTCATACATGTTGCTGCAAATGGCATTATTTCATTCTTTTTTATGGCTGAGTAATTCCATTGTATATGTGTGTGTGTATATATGTATATATATCAGATCTTCTTTATCCAGTCAACTGTCAATGGTCATTTAGGTCGCTTCCATGTCTTGGCTATTGTAAATAGTGCTGCTATGAACATTGGGGTGCATGTATCTTTTTGAATTAGAGTTTTCTCTGGATATGTATTCAGGAGTGGGATTGCTGGATCATATGGTAACTCTATTTCTAGTTTTTTGAGGAATCTCCATACTGTTTTCCACAGTGGCTGCACCAAGTTACATTCCCACCAACAGCGTAAGAGGGTTCCTTTTTTGCCACACCCTCTCCAGCATGTATTGTTTGTGGACTTTTTAATTATGGCCATTCTGACTGGTGTGAATGATACCTCATTGTAGTTTTGATTTGCATTTCTCTGATAATTAGCAATATTGAGCATCTTTTCGTGTGCCTATTGGCCATCTGTATTTCTTCATTGAAGAAATGTCTGTTTAAGTCTTCTGCCCATTTTTTTGATTGGGTTATTTTTTGTTGTTATTGTTACTGATTAACAATCAGTAACTCTGGAAGTTAAGCCCTTGTCAGTTGCATTGCTTGTAAATATTTTCAAAACCAGACAAAGACACTATCAAAAAAGAAAATTATAGGCCAGTATCTTTGATAAATATAATGCAAAAATTCTCAATAAAATATTAGCAAACCAAATCCAACAACATATAAAAAAGATCATACACTACAATCAAGTCAAATTCATTCCAGAGTCAAAAGGATGGTTCAACATACACAAATCAACCAATGTGATACACCACGTCAACAAAAGAAAGGACAAAAACCACATGATCATCTCAACAGGTATAGAAAAAGCATTTGATAAAATTCAACATCCATTCATGACAAAAACTCCTACCGAAGTGGGTATAGACAGAACATATCTCAAAATAATAAAAACCATATGTGACAAGCCCACAGCCAACATAATACTCTTTTTTTTTTATGACTCCACACCTGTGGACAAAGAAAAGACTACTGGTATCTAGAAATCTAGTATTTGTGTCATACTTATCATAAGTTGCACTCATAATACTCAATGGTAAAAAGTTAAAAGTCTTCCCACTAAAATCTGGAACTAGACAAGGATGCCCTCTCTCACCACTTGCATTCAATGTAGTATTGGAAATCCTAGCCACAGCAATAAGACAAAAAGAAGAAATAAAGGGGATCCAAATTGGGAGGAAAGAGGTAAAACTGTCACTATATGCTGATAACATTATAATATGTATAGAAAACCCTAAAGATTCCACACAAAGACTAATAGAGCTGATACAAATTCAGCAAGGTAGCAGGTTACAAGATTAACATACAGAAATCTGTTGCATTTCTTTACACTAACAATGAAATGCCAGAAAAGGAAAGTCTAAAAAATTCCTTTTAAAATCTCATCCAAAGAAGAAAGTACTTGGGAATAAACCTAACCAAGGAGACGAAAGACTTATACACTGAGAGCCATAAAACATTGATAAAGGAAATTAAAGACCATTTAAAGAAATGGAAAAATATCCCATGCTTTTGGATTGGAAGAATTAATATTGTTAAAATGCATACTACCCAAAGCAATCTACAGATTTAATGCAATTCCTATCAGATTACAGGACATTTTTTCTCAGAAATAGAACAAATAATCCTATGACTCCATAAAATTTATATGGAATCACAAAAGACCCAGAATTGCCAAAATAATACTGAAGAAAAAGAATGAAACTGGAAGTATAAACCTTCCAGACTTCAGACAATACTACAAAGCTATAGTAATTAAAATAGCATGGTATTGGCACAAAAATGAACATATGGATCAGTAGAGCAGAATAGAGAGCCCAGAAATAAACCCACACTCCTACAGTTAATTAATCTTTGATAAAGGAGGCAAGAATATACAACAGAGAAAAGACAGTCTCTTTGCCAAGTGGTGTTGAGAAAAAAAGCATAATTTTTACGTAAGGTATATACATTATCTTTTTAGACATAATACTATTGCACACTTAATAAACTACAGTGTAGTGTGAACATAACTTTGACATTCACAGGGAGACCCCCCAAAAATGTGACTTGCTTTATTGAAATATTTGCTTTATTGCAGTGGTCTGGAGCTGAACCCACACTATCTCTAAGGTATCTGTGTTCCATAATAGCCTGGAGAATGTTAGCATACTACAGCAGCATTATTTACATGAATTTTGGAAACGTTAATGGACTCTGACCTGATTGGGGGGGTTTAACAAGTAAGTGTGGGCATTCAGGGGTGATTTATCAATACACTCTGTCAGGCTTTGAGGACTGAGTGTTTACAGATGGCGTGTCACTGCAGAAGAACAAAGGCAAAATGTAATCATCAAGGTGAAAATCTTCTAAGAGTGTCCACTTTCTAAGCAGGCATTTGGAAATCATGGCAATGGTGAAGATAATGAAATACATGATAGTTAACCTAAGTTCCTTCAACATTTTTGCAAAATAGAACATTTTCTGCAGACCGTCTCCAGATTTTGGATCCAGGGTTCCTGGAAGTATGCAGGAACCAGCAGATGTGGGCACGCCCAGCTGTGCCCATCTGTTTAAATGTGCTTGGCTCCAGCAGACATTGGACAGAGTGGGCAGAAGTGAAACAGGAGATGGGTTTGTGCCTTGGGAAGCACAAAATGAGCAGAACAGTGAAATACGAACTGGTGACTATGGCAGCAGGCTGAGTAAAGAGTATGAATCACCCTGGAGCAAAGGTGACACTCTGGTGTTCTACACAGGACCAGGATTGAGGGGGGAGTGACAGCAGCTTGTAACCTCCAGAGACCATGATAAGAGCTACTTCAGTAGAGTGGTGGGGACAACAGGACAGCACTGAGAATACGGGGCAAAAAAAGGAGAAGACCCTTTAAAGAAAAGTGCTTATGAGGGGGAAATATGGGTCCTCAGCTGAGGGGTGGGGTGATAGCAGGCGTCTACAGCGTTCTGTAGACAAGACACTTGAGCGTATTTAAATATGGGTGGGCAAAAATGCTAGGGAAGGGGACAAGGGTGAGCGTGGTGGGGGTGGTAATGGCCTGAGAAGTGGGCACCACCCCAGCATTGGGCGTGGGGGGAGGGTGTAGATAAACCTTCAGTGCAGCTGGGTGGTTGTGACTTCCATGGTGCTATGTCATCTCGAGGAAGGGCTGGGAGCGGATATGGGTGCGTTTCTTGTTTTGATGGAAGAAAAAGACATCTCCCAGGTCTTCTAGTTGTGGGAAACGTCAAGTGAGGGGATTTGCTGAGAGTGAGGGACGAGATGTGAGTGGGGAGGGCTGGTAGGCAGCCTGCAGAGAACAGAGACCGGGGAGAACGAGACTGAGAGGCGCTGAGGTCACTGGCAGGAAGGCCAGGCAGCACCAAGGGGCCTGTGGGCCGGGGAGGACGGAGCCCTGAGCCGCGGGGTGAGGGTCCCCAGGGAAGCCGGGGGCGGGGCGGGAAGGCAGCTGCACAACTGGACCTGGTATCTAAGCAGGACGGGATAGAAGAGTGAAGAAGGGTCCATAAAGGGGGCGCAGAGGCCTTCGGAGGGAGGGAAACCTTCAGCCAGCTGGAAGCGCAGGAGGTGGGAGGCCACCGCGGGAGGCTGAGATCTGCGGCTGCACAGGATTGCGTAGGCGCCTGTGCACCTCGCTCACCTGGCGCCCCAGTGCCCACGACCCACCTGGCCCGCACCTGGCACGCACCGGCCACTCCATAGGTACCGCCTCCGGAAGTCAGGTCGGCACATTCCAGGTGATGGCGTGGCTTCTGGGGTGACTGGTGGGTGGAGGGTGAGGAAGGCTCCAGCAGCCGCCAGCCTGACGGGGGCAGGGGGGACTCCGTGCAGAACCGAGGAAGGTTCGAATTCATTTGAACATCTGCATGTAGGGACATGAGATGAACGCCAGATCGAGGTACCTGAACTTCCTTCCAGTCTTGATTACTCTCCGAATAGAAAGTGCCATGACCAATGCGATGTTTTCCTAAGACCCATCTAGAGCCAGGTAGGCTGGATGGGAAGGGGCAACGCTGCTGGCAAAGAAAACCGGGCGATAAGCAGCAAGCCGCTGGGTTTCTGAGAAGAACCAAACCTCACGTGAACTTGACTCAAGAGTCCGCTTTGCCCTTCAGCGTGAGGCAAGCCAGTCATCATCACATCATCGTAATGGAGAAGTCATTAGCTAAAACAGACCTCCTTCTAGACCAGGTGGTTCTCACAGCGCGGTCCCGGGACTTCCAGCATCACCTAGGAACTTGGAAATGCCTGATCTCCGGCCTGACCCCAGACCCACAGACATGGAAGCTCTGGGGTGGGGCCCAGCAATCTGAGTTTTCAGAAGCCCTGCTGGTAACTCTAAACTCTGAAAGCCACAGCTCTGGAGGCAGACGGGTAGGGACAGGACACTAGTTTGGGGTAAGATTGGCCTCAGAACAAAACCAACTCTCACACTGTCCTGTCTTGGACACATCACACAGACACTCCCAGCTTCAATTCCTTCCTTTGGAAAATGGGAAAATAATAGCTACTTCCCTCATGAGGCTATTTTGAAGCTAGTGGTAATACACTCAAAGAACCTGGAACATATCTATTATGTTTTCATAACTGAAAATAAATTTGGTAATCAAAATAGCCACCAACAGTGCATAATCTCAGACAGGCAAATAAATTAATGGTTCATGAATCAAGTAAACGTATCTTGTCACATAGTAAAAAAAAAAATCACTAATATAAAATACAAACTGGATAAGGCAAAATATAATGTGGTCACTAACCAAGACGTTTAAATGGATTCTAACTATTAAAAGCTGGATCAGGTGAAATCTCTGTTCCTCCAAATAGAGCAATGGCCTTTTTCATTATCCAGACGAAGGGAGGCGATTATAGGTTTCACGTATCCATTTCACCCAGCTTTGTTTTCTGGTCCCACGTTGAGTGAAGACAAGTCCCCTCCTCATTGTATGACCATTTCCAGGCTGGCTGCGTTTGACGCCCGAGGCCTCATTCTCCCCTAAGCTATCTTCTCTGAATAGGCCCCCTCTTTCCTGAGAGTCTTTTATTCACATGAGCAACCAGGTAACTATTTTGGGTAAGAGATCGCCAGTAGCATTCTTTCTCTAACTGTAGGATTTCTCCGCCTCCATCCCTAGCGGGCCTTACTGAGAAGGATTTTGGTGCCTTTTCCTTTGCTGAAAACCCAATCTCATTTACATGCTTTAATCTGCAGGTTTGTCTTGTTTCTCAGCAATCCCATCAACTTGAACAAAATAACTACAGTTCATTTGAACAATCTGCATGCATTCTCATCAGTTCTTAATGCAGCACAATCATAAGTTAGCTCAGCTTTACAGCGACCTTAGCTCTGTCTTGGGCAAAAAAATGTCTCAATGAGTTAAGAAAAAAGTGTAAGCAGCATTACCTGAAAGCTCTCTCCTTCAAGACCTCTGCAAAGCCATCCCTACTTTCAACCACCAATTTGCTGGGCAGAGATTTAAAGTATATGATTGAAATCATGCAACATGCACACACTTACAGCCCAGCCTTTTGGTTCAACTCAATATTGTATCACAAATATTTCTACCTTATCTGTAAATATAGCTTTATCACCCCTGTTGTACTGTATCAAAGGGGCACATTGTGTTTATCTAACCATGTTCCCCTCAGTTACACATCTACATTGTTCACAACTCTTTACTATCATACATCTTATGAATCATTTTTCCTACTTGTGGAGTGCTCAGGGTGACCAGCTGTCCCAGTTTGCTTGGGCTTCTCCCAGGCTGAGCACAGAAAGTCCCAAGTCACGGGGAGCCCTCTCAATGCCAGGCAAACCTGTCACTTTGTCCTCCTAACTAGGAAGACGATAGGATCTTTGAAGACAAAAGCAATGCCTGAAACTCTGTATCTGAGAACACATAAAAGCATAATAAAAACTGTGGATTAAATAAAAGGCAATACCGGGAATGCACTACCAGACTTGACTGAAATATTACTTATTAATTGTCATTAACTTCATATTAGACTTTTTGAGATGGAAACTGAGAGACATCTTCCATGTAAAATGTTCAGGAAGGGCCGCCACCCAGGCCCCGGTCAGTGGTCTGCATCTGACGACACGGCGTCCCCACGTGGCACTGAAATCATCACCCACTGTCCTTTAGCAGAGCTGCCCCCGATGCTCGCAGGCAGACGGCGCTGGGGAAGTCTCAGGTCAGCGGCCGTAAGAGGATAAAGAAATCTGCGGTATCAGTACACGTAAGCTGTAGTTAGTCTGTAAGGTATAAGTCTACACGTAGACTGACCTTCAATGGTATGTTGTTGTACATTGAACTTTAACGGAATAAAGCCAAACAAGCATCCGGGTAAGAAGTTCCCAAGAAAATGTCCTGCATACAGTCACTTTTGGAGCTGACAGTCCAACCTCTGAGTTTTAAAACATTTTTGTTAAGTTGGTTATTTTGATTAAAACAGAATTCCAGATCTGGAAGGGACCCTGGGGAATATTGATCCTGTATCTTTTCAAACATTATTCTAGAGGCAGAACTCTGTTTCCCCTCTTAAAAAACAAATCAGAATCTTAACACCAAAATAAAACTGGTAGAAGTAGAATTACTCTGCTGAAGGAGGCAGGCATTGCAATGCCTAGGGCCGCCAAAATAGTTTGAAATCCACTGACCTAGATCCTGTCAACATTTCTAGGTTATCGGCCAATTCGTTCAATAGGCCAGGAGCTGGGTGATTTCTATGGCATCTTAGAAGACCCGTAAGTGTCTTTGGCAGAAAAATCCATTTCCTAATTTTTACCCCTTTGTCTCTTTTGAACCTCAAGGGCAGAAGGGTGAGTTAATTATAATGTGTTAGAATCACCGGTTATACAAGTCCCCTATCTTATTTTATTTACTTGTTCTATTTTGTCCCTATTCCTGTTCCCATCCCAGCCCACAAAGGAGCCATCCTGTGTGTTAGGGTCTATCTTTTGTTTGTATTCTTGCAGAATAGACATTGTTTTGTGTGCAAGTATTTTTAATTTTATGTGAATCAGGTCTTGTATCCTGTACCTCATTCTGTTCCTTACTTTTTCATTCGGCCCCGTGCCTAATGGGCCACTCACGACGCTCTGTCAACATCTAATCCCGCATTTCCAACTGCTGCTTGGGGCATTCCCACCACATTTGGCATTTCCTCTCTCCCAGACTGCCTCCAACTCCTGGCCACCCAAATAATGCTGCACGGAACATGCCTGCCTTCTGATAAACAGGTTTGAGATTCTCCTTTGGGATTTAATTATAGGCGTGGAATTGCTGTGTCATGGTGTATGTCTATGGACACTAATTTGTGTCAGTAGCTCCAGACTGATCTGGAGAATAGCCCCACACGCCCTCCGCAGGGCACCTGCAATCCGCCAACACCTGGTATCACCAGGCTTTTTAGTTTCTAACGAACCTGACACGTGTGAAGTGCTGTCTTGTTTGCATTTCCGTTTCTCTGGTGATGTGTGGATCTGTGTCGCTTCCTGTGCTAATCGGTCTTTTGGGCTTCCTTTCATGAAAACTGCATATATCCCTTGTCAATTCTTCTATAAGACTTGCTGTCTTTTCCTTGTTGATTTACAGAAGTCCCTTTCATACTCTAGAGAAATCAGTTAATGTCTTGTTAGTTTTGACATCAAACATCCCTTTCCCAGTTCTCCCATTCTGAAGCTCCAGACTTGGGGCAAGTTACTTAATCTCTCTGCCCTTTACTTTCCTTCCCTACAAAATCGGGATAACAGCCCGTGCCTCACAGCTTGGGTGAGGATTAAATGCGCTATTTACTATGTCTTACTGTTGTCTGGCAATTAAAGAAGAGTATCAGTTTTTAAGCAGGAAATGTATGCCAACACCCATAATAGTATATTACAGTGTGGCTTTTCGTCCCTGTTGGGCATTAAGCTGCTCTAACAGATTACATTTTAGTGTCCATCCAGTATCAAGAGAACTGGGTTGCTTAAGATGTAGAGCAGCTTAGCCCAAACCTACCTCAAGCTCGATCTGAATCTCAGTATTCATGACTCCTGCCCTGCCATCACTGCCCTGTATTCATCATACAGAGTCAGGGGGCAGAGTGGAGCCTTTTGGTCTTTACTCTGAGGCCAGATTCTCATGACACGACAAGCCAACTGTGATGTGATCTGGCCATTGCTAACTGCCCCCAAACAAGAAGCAAATTGGTCTCATTGACCCAACCAGACTATAGGTGTGAACCACGCTGGCACTTTTCTAACCACAACATCTTTAGGGAAGCTGTTGCCGTCAGATTCACTGAAGGATTTCTGGTGCTTGTGAATAAAACACGCCATGGAGAGAGTGTTATGTTAGAATGGTATTTTAGTCCTTTTCAGAAAATCCCTTGCTCAAAAGGGGCAGAGGAGAAAGCAGTGGGCAGAGTTGAGTGCCTGCTCTGGGCGACCGTGGGCAGAGACCCTGTCCAGATCCGCATGGGCCCAGGTGAGGTGGGGATTAAAGAAACGGAGGCTGGGAAACTGCCAACGCGCATGGCTCCGACTGTCTATCGTGGGTCCTAGTCTTTGTTACTGAGCCCAGCCACACCAGCTCCAGAGAGCGGGTCCCTGCCATGTCCCTTCGGGCTGGCATCCCGGAGCCCTGCCAACAAGAGCGTCCCCCGGGCTGAAGGGTCTGCCCCTGATTCCCAGACCCAAGCTGCTCTCTGGGTGGATCTCCTCCAGACCTGCAGGCAACAACTGCAGTACCGCCAGCCACGAGCGCTCCTACGGGGCAGACCACACCACAAGCGCTTTGCACACATTATGTGCGTGAGCCTCCCGTCAACTCCACACGACAGCTGCTACTCCCCTTAATAAGAACCTGAGCCCGGAGAAGCTCAGACTAAGAAGTCTGTCCATGTTCACACAG